TAGCCGGCCAAGCGCTGTGAACGGCCGGCATCTAATTCCCACACCGCTCAGCCACCTATCACAGTCCGGCAGAGCGCTGTGTGGGCGGAGACAGGCAGCGCTGTCACAGGAAGCTGAGCTCTCCTCCCTACACCGCTCGCTCAGCCTCATGTGACAGCGTGTCAGAGAGGAGAGCCAGGTACAAACACTCGGCGATCGCTGAGTGTTTCTAGATAATTGAGGACATGGTATGGTTATTATAGCCTCAATTACAGAAAAAGAAATTGAGGACAGAGTCCTCTCTCTTTTTCTATTTTAAAAAGGGAAATAGGGGTCTGTTTAGACCCCTGATATTTCCCCAAAGCCCCTAAAAGTAAGGTCAAAAATAAAAATATTTAATAAAAAATGAATTAAAAATAAATATTAAAAAATTAAAACGTTCATAAAAAAAAAAGTTTGAAAAAATTAAAATAAAAACATTTTCGGTATCGGTTTCGGCCTGACAATTTTTTTTATTTCAGTTTCGTTTTTTTACAATTTCCATTTCAGTGCACCTCCAATTTTTTCCCACTTTCTGGTCCACTTTGGCACAAATGACATAATTGTGCCCAAGTGTTTCATCCTGGGAGGGATACATCAGCAGAGCATTGCTGGGAAATCTCATCCTGAGATCTCAGGAAAAGGCATTTTCTACCCCTGAGATGATGTGCATGGTCACATGTCCTAGTCACATGTGCCAGAGTTCCAGAGTTTCTATCAGTATCTGTTTGTAGATTTTTGCTCCCGTTCTTCAGATATACAAATCTGACACCAACCTGGCTGTAGGAATTCTCTCAGCCTATTGTCTTTATTTAGCATATCATCTGGACCTAACTGAATACACCCTGCATTTGTTTCACATTCAATTCCTTACATAACCACCACCCCAGGAACAGACAGAAAAGACAAGATAGGGAAACAGATTAGATTACACACACATTAATCACTCCAAATAAAATATTGTTCTATATATACGACGATTTACATCTGCCAATAGAGATTTTGCATAAACCTCATATTGTAAAATGAAATAAAGTCTAAAACGGGGCTTAGAAGTACAGTTTTATAATTATACTGGGGGAGCTATATTGGCCAGCTCATTGAAAACAAAATCCTATCCTAAATGGCTGACATCTATAAAAAAAAAAGCAGTCAAGTAATGTCACTGAATATACATATGAAATGATTTGCTTTTTCTACACTGAAATGAATCAAGAAAGTTATGGACTGACAGCAGACCCGAAGGAACAGTCAAGAAATTGTTACAAGTAGAGCTGCATGAATGTTAGTTGATAAAGCACGGACTGTTTTTTATTATGCAGTACTACAGTCCCACAACTATTTATCTGACTTTGCATATTCCACCCCACCACCAAAATGTTGCATCATAAAAAAGTAAAATATAATAATCTTTTACCTCAGTTTAGTATTGCTTGAACACCATGTCAGAGGATATGAGGGTCTTAAGGCACAACAATCTTTAAACAGAAGAAAAAACAAATATTTTAGCTGGTTTCAGATATGAAATCTGAATAAACATTTTTTATAAACAATATGAAGCCAACGAACCCCATATAAAGAAATAGGGATCTTTATTTTATTCATATGGCAAAACTTACATTTTCAAAAAAAAAAAAATCCAAAACTTAAAATGGCAACTATAATTTTTTTTAAATGTAACTTAGTTTATACTTTAAAGAACAACTCTGGGCAGAATAAAAAATAAACCCCTGTAAGGCCCCGTTCACACTGAGCGGTTTATCGCACGATGTCGCTCTACGTAGCTTGTCCAATGCATTCCAATGGAGCTGTTCACAGCTCAATGTCGCACGTAGCTCGTCACGACTACCCTTTTTTCGGCGGATGTTGCGCAATTCAGGCCCCAATAGACTCATTGGTGTCGCGCGAAATCGCACATTACCGGTGATATTGCGCGACTTGGTCGCGAGACAAAAGGGTTACTTTTGCACTACAAAATGGAAGGCAAGAATGATGTCACATCAAGATTGGTTACAGCCCAATGTAGCAGCGACCAAAAAAAAAAACCACGCTGCTTAAAGCGATAAAATGTGCACTGTCGCTCAATATCGCACAAGTAGCTCAGTCGTTCAGCACGAAATCGCGTGGAAAAATGCGCAATATCCATGTTGCAAGGTGTGAATGGGGACTAATAGGGGCTACCCCCCAGACTCCTTGGTTTTCTCTAGGGGACGGAATAAAGAACTTCTACTCACCCAAGCCTTGATCCTGCAGCAGAGACTGCTCGCCTCTCTCCCCCTACTCTCTCGGTGGTGAAATGTCCATCTGCATCTTCGCGTCTAATACACTGTACAATATATTAGATGTGATGGTTCATGGGTCATTAGACCGCTGGAGTCAGGGGGAGTAGAGACTGCAGGGACCTGTATAGCAGCCAGGTGGGACCGAGGATCAGGAGAGTATATCTTTTTTTATTTTAGCTCCTAGACCAAAACAAGCAGTAAACCCTTGCTGTAAGAGGGAAGCCCAGCTGCAAGGGTTTATTTTGATTCTGGCCAGATATATTCATTAAGTAAAGTTTATACCTTTAAAAATGTATCCTATGTATCACTTTGTTGCCAGTGTAATGTATATATTGTACACTTTTAATGCAGAATGCTACAATGTGTTATCAGCGTAAAATGAACTTTCAAATTAGAAAGTTTAGCAAAGTGTGCTCACATCTCTAACAACTAAAAATCCATAGTTTGTCCCTTCTGTAAGGGTCAGCAGTGTATGCACTTTGTGAACAGCCCTGAACAGCAGGAAAGCAAATTACACATACAGTTACAGTATAGCATGAAATGACTCAATTGAAGTGGTAAACAGAATCGAGCACCAGTCTGCTAATTACAAGCGGTAAATATTTAACCTTTTTTTACGCACGATTTCCAATTTACCAAAATAAAAATGGAAAATTACTTTCTCTCCTGAAAAGATCAGGTGAAGAAAATGTATAAAAGATACTAAACAGGATGTTCTAAAACAAAAAAGGTATAGTTACCAATGCATTGTTTTAGCATTTTTAAGTATGTGTATATAAAATTAGAAATAGATCACTCAATATACAGTACGAGGGGAGTTTATCAAAACTGAAGCAGACAAATACTAGAGCAGCTGTGCATGGCTACCAATCAGCTTTTATTCTTTCATTTTCAAAGCTTAACTGAACAAACTGGAGAGAGAATTTGATTGGGTACTATGAACAACTGCTCCAGTTTTGATAAATTCCCCTCATTGTTGAGTTGAGAATTGGGAGTTAGTAACGTAAAGCAGGACAACAATAGTATGACTTTTGAACTAGTGGTCGACTGATCGGTTTTCTATAACCGATATGGGGTACATATATTGGGTTTACATCCAGCTAAGCCACCAGCTGAAAGTAAACAGGCAGTCACCTGATATCAGGTCGACTCCTACTAAGCTTCCGGCCCCCTGCCCCATTTATCTGCCAGCGGCTAGATTCCGCTGCCGGCAGCTGAATGTAAACAGCAGGCAGTCTGTATTGGCCATTTCAAATTGCAATATCCACTAGTCTGCTGTTAATCAGCAGAGGAGTGGACCTGAGAGGCAATGGGCGGGTGCAATAGCCAGCCAACATCTGCTCTTTGCTTTGTTCATTGGCTGCTGGCTCTATTCGCACATAGATTTTGTGACTGGTCTCTTCAATCAGCTGATCGAAGGGTGCCGGCCAGGCAGCGGCACCCACTGTGCGAATTTCAGCAGATTCCTCAAGTACCGGCTGAAATTCACATAGTGTTTATTATTGGTAAATTAAACAGATACCAAGAATAAAAAAATGTTGTGAATATTGACCAACAATAATCTGTAGATCCCATAATCTGTCAACCTCTATTCTGGACACCTCTGAATCCTAATAATTAAGCTAAAGTGAGAGGCTTAAGCAGTGTAGCTAAACAACTGGACAAGCAACTGCACAAGTAAAAAAAATGTTCACAAGCAAGACTGCAGAGTTAAAGACTGAAAATGATAACTCAATAAGTCCAGCCAGGACTGTTTTTGTAATAAATTAGGCTAATTACATTTTAACATAAGATAGTGCATTTTCCTTAAACACTGCATCAGCTTGGTGTTTAGCGGATATAGTTTTTTGGGTATTTGGCTGGTTCCCTATTAGCAGCATGCACTTGAAAACATATTTGACTTCATTACCAAGGTTATATATGTGGGATATTTAACTTCAAAATAATATTACATTGGGGTATTTTTTAACTTAGCTGTGGTAGATTATACTCAAGCTCATTTTTGCTGTGGAACTATATAGCATATTTTTGTATTAAGGCAACAGTATAGTGGTGAAAAAAAAACCCAACAATCATCATATACATGTCATCTAATAAAATAGAAATGTTACTCACCAATTCCAGTTTAGACCAGCAGGGTAAGAAACTTCAGTGTCCACCTATACCAGCGTGTATGCAACCAAGAGCTTTTTTGAAATCACCATTTAAAAGCAATGCACTTTCCATACAGCAGGATTCTGCATTTGTTATGGTAAAGTTTTAATTTGACATAACAACAAGATATTTGTAACAAGTATTGGGATGATGCAACCATTGGAATGGTTTGATTTTTTTTCCCTTTTCTTTTTTTTTTAACTTGGTTTATTTACCAACAGATCTGCATTGTCTTTTTTTTTTTCTTTCTTTTTTTTTTTTGGACCATTCCATTTATTTCCTTAACATACTAAAGTTGCAAAGATTTATATGCAAAGCAAAAATACAATGTTATTAAAACCCATACGTAAAATACGTACACAAAATAAAGTGAACAGAAAGGCTACTACATAGTAAAGCCTATGCATAACATAACACTATGTATTAATATATATATATATAACAACTGAGATTTCTGTTTAATATTTATCTAGACTTCTCAAAACATTCACAGATTTTAAAGCAAATTGTGTTATCAGGAATATTTTCAACTTGCACTTGTCAAGTTTTTTTTTTTTTTTTAAATTACAAATTAAACCAAAATTGTACACCCAGCAAAAGTGTGCTAATAAATGTTGCATATGTGTATTATATTGCATTAAGCAACCATTAACTGAAATGTGACAACGGAAGTCTTTCAAGTCTTAGATGAGCTTTATAAACCAAGCGTCCACTATATATGTTCACACAGACATGCGGAAAACGTCCTATGGAAAAGCGCATTAGGTGATCTCAACATCAGATGTAACGTTTACAAGCCGAGTTTTAGGTGAGCTCATTTATCTTCTCCAAGATCGAGATTCATTGTCCTCTTCCTCTTCATCATCATCCTGCAGTAAAGAGTCATCCACAACAGAGTCTTCCTGAAACTGGGGAAGCAATGGAAATTATGAACAAATGTAAGCAACATTCCCTTTAATTCATCTGCGTTACAGTGAAGACATATCTTTCCTATTTAGAATTAAAACCACTGCTTTTCTTTGCCAGCAGAGTCTCTTTAGGGAGATTTCTCCTCAGTTCCTGTCCTGTAGACAGTGTAAATTCAAAATCTTCCCGATGCAAATGAATCACAGCAAGCCCTCCTGCTTGATTCCACCTTATCACACTGGGGCAGCTCCACAAGGCAGGGAACCTTAACATATATAGAATGACAAAAAAGGAGAGCGCCCACTCCATCTGTAGGATCGTTTAATAAATTGCTTTTAAAAAATGGTAATGTACTCACAAGAGAAAAGTGACAAGCGTGGCAGGGTTAACGTGTTTCTGGGGCACGTCCTCAAGGGGTTCTGAGGAAGGGGGTGCCCCAGAAACATGTTAAACCTGCCACTCGCTGCTGGAAGACTTTGGTCGTGAGCTGACTTGGCTGTGCTGTGGCTTCTGATGGGCGATAGCCTCCTGTGAGGGGAACCATTGAATACACTTGTTACTTTTCTCTTGTGAGTACACTACCATTTAATTAAAAGCAAATTATTAAACGACTGTCTCTTAGACAGTTGTCATGGGAAGAAGTGTCTCCATTGAAAGTTTCTCCCCCTATTCTTGTTCTGGTGGCAACTCAAAATTGTACATTAACCTTTACTTTTATTCCCAGTGATATTGGTGATCAGGACAATGAGAGAGAATCTCCCTAATGGGGACATAGAGCAATAAAAACCTGAGAGTGGTTCTAATTCACACACCACAATCTAAAAAAAACCAAAACAAAAAAAATCCTTGAAGTGCACATCCTCTTTCCTCCATAGAAACATGTGCACAGTCATGCGTTTTCCAAAAAAATGTCTGCATGCTAAAATAGGGGCTTCTGACATTACAATGGCCCATTACAAGGCTTGATCACAAGTTATGCTGAACCTGCAAATATTAAGTCATGCACGAATACCAAGCAAAATAATAATTTTTTTATACAATTTCTTTTTATCATTCTGGATTAAAACCCATATTAATGTTTCTGATACATTGCAAAGTGTGTGTGTGTGTGTGTGTGTGTGTGTGTGTGTGTGTGTGTGTGTGGGGGGGGGGGGGGGGAGCCCTCGTCTCGCTGGGTGTGGTGGGGGGGGGAGACAGCTTCACGTTCGTCTGGTGTAAATACTTTCACATCAAGAAAATAAAGATGTTTAAAACTTAGATCTTTATTTCACGTAAGATAATAAAATGAATGTCAGTCCCCTGCAGCACCTTTCATTGGCTCTAGAAGTGTTTACTTCTAGGAAAAAGCCAATAGCCTGCAGAGGTAAACAAAACTCTGGGAGTAAACGTAATATGGCAGTCTGTTTACAGCTCAATGATGCTGATGTAAGCCTGGCATCAGTGTCAAAGAGTTAAAGTAGAATGATCCAATTAGAACATATAGCAAATATTTGTATTTATTATAATATAGCGTACAGATTCCCCACAGAATGGGTTAGAATCTGGACTAGAGCCAGGTCAGCTAAAATAATGCCTGAGGGTCCAGTGGTGAGCGACAATGAGACTTAGGAGTTCCATATAGGGGTCTGGACACACTGCCTCATGACCTGAGAAGGCCGAGTCAAAATGAGAAGTAAAGGGGGGGAAAAAAAAGTATACAAAGATCATTTGTGGCTATAGGAAACACTAGATTTAAGTGCTAGAAGCAGTAAAAGACAAGTGTGTGCAGCACAGAAGTTAGATGTTAGGCAGCCTACAAAGAGAAATTGACAAAGCTTTACTACTGTACTGGAGCTGGAAGGCAAAGTTGCAGAATATAGGCTTAACCTAAGGCAAAATCACAAGCAAGCAAACCAGAAAATGAGAGGCACCATTAAACATCATGGAGTCTGGACATATGAATTTGGAGCGCATTGCAAATGAATGACTGCAATGTAAACGTGTCCTAAAAGAGTGGCCCCACCGCAACGTCTCATTGCCCTCTAACATGATGAAAGGAAAAATAGGATTTTGTACTCACCGTAAAATCCTTTTCTCTCCGTTCATTGAAGGACACAGGCAACAGATCGTAGATCCTGAATGGTAGGGTAATATCGCCACCTGCAGGAGAAGGACGCTAGGCACAAAACTAAAGACCAATTACAGCCTAGGGGCGGCCCCTGCCGGTGGCCAAACCCCCCACCTGCTGACAAGTCTCCAGTTTAGTAACAAGCAGTTAGGAGTGTACACCCCATAAAGAGGGCGGGGCCTGTGTCCTTCAATGAACGGAGAGAAAAGGATTTTACGGTGAGTACAAAATCCTATTTTCTCTCCCGTTCATTGAAGGACACAGGCAACAGATCGTAGATCCTGAATGGTAGGGACATCACCAAGCAGTAACACACTGAGGGATGGGCAACAATAAAACACCCAGCTGGACAGAACAGAAAATCCAACAGCCTGTTATAAGAAACCATGCATATATATCAGTACCTTGATCAGTAATTATATACTGTATGCACTCAAACACAGGTAAAGCTAAAATCTATAACTTACTTCTTCCTCCTCTTGCTCTGCATCTTCCACCTCTGTGATGCAGGCATTAGGTAAAGGTTTATGCCACCCTAACTTTAAGTCCTGCCCTTTGAAATGTGCTCCATGGACTGCAGCCTGAAATAAATAATATATATGAAAGTTTAACTAAAGAAGATTATAAAATAGGTACAAACAAAATAAATACATGCATCACTTGAGTCCCCAGACCTTTTTCTCCCTAAACCCTCCAGAGACCTTTTCTTTTTTTTAGTTTCTGTGAGGATTTGTTTCCACAAGCTATATCTTAGATATATTTTGTTAGGGGAAAAAAAGGCATTTTCCTGTAATTTCCAGGTAATTTGGGTACACCCATATACTCCACAAAGTCCACTGATTAAAATGATATCACATTAGTGTGATTTTTATGCAAGATAGGGGAATGGTAACGCTCAAAGAGAATGTATACATTTTACTCTAGGAGAGCTTTTATCCCCTCATGCAAAGAAAACATTTTTTTTTTAAATTGTTTTTATATTAAAAGATAAGATTAAGTCAAATTAGCACAGTTAGCAAAAAACAAAAAAAAAAAATTATATAAAACTTTACTCTATACTTCACAATTTTTTTTATTACACTTTTTTTCCCCCCTCATTGGAGGGTCTGGATCTGGTCAATGGAGACTTCTGGTAGTGATCTACTGATACAGCACTTTTGATGACTTTTTGGCTGTGGCCGTCTACATTTCCTACTGCTTTTCTCTAGAAAACACTGGCAAAGGCACAGGCTATACCAACCCTCAAAAGTCACATCTGGTCACCGTTCATCAGGCGGATCTTGTGGTAGATAAGAATGTCCAATGCTCTTTTCACAGTGAACTAGAACTGTGGCCAGGATATGGATATTTAAATGTTTAACTGTATCCTCAAAGTTTGCAGCTGAAAGTAATTTCAGTAATTTTAACAGTTCAGTTCATTGTGCATTACCTTCCCATCAGTGAAATGCAAGTGCAGTGAGGGTTTGCTTAGAGGTAATTTAATACTTTTTAAAAGTGTCAATATTTCAAAGTCTATAGCCTGGTCAGTTTGCTCACTTCAATCCAGAAGGGGACACTACGTACCTGCATTGCCTTCTCATTTTCTGTGCAAATACTCCTAGGCACAACACAAGTCTAAAGCAGTGAACATACTTTTAAGAGGGGAAAGCAAGGAATTACTGTATCAGTGTATTACTCCTCAACTGTCCAGCCACTAGGCTGGAGCAGGAGACATTACTAAAGAAGAAAAACCTTAGCAGCTGTCTTAAAGCGGACCTTTGCCCATATCTTTAAAATAACAAACACACCTTTAGAAATGTTTAGTAATGACAATCTACAAACACATACTTCTAGATAATTGCCGGCTTTGTATTCTTTGCATACCCTGTTTCTCTTTTCTTCCCGTCTCCTGACAGCAGCCATGTTTACTAGGGGCAGATTACTAGCTCTCCTTTTACTTCCTTGATTTCTGGCACATGTGTCTAGACATGTGACCATGCACATCATCTCAAGGGAGAAAAATGCCTTTCCCCGATATCTCGTGATGAGATTCCCCAGCAATGCTCTGGTGATAAGGCAATCCCAGTGTGCATTGCTTTGGCAAACTGAACTCATTTTGCACTTTCAAAGCAGGAAGTGAATGCTCTGCAAGTGTAAGTATTTCACAATCACAGCTTTTTACACCTGACATGTCTAGGTTATTATTATTCATCATACATAGAGGAATGCATTGGTAGAATTTGATTTTGAGTGTAAAGGTCTGCTTTAACTGTGCAAATGAAAGATGAGTAAGGTAAGACATGCAGTATTTACAGGCATATCACTGACATTTTCTTTTTAGTGTGGAACTCCTCTTTAGAATTCTTGTAGCAAAGCGGGTGCAGACATTAGCAAAAGTGGCCTTATTTAAAAAACCTTCACGAATACTGAGAGTGGTTGTAGCCAGCCTAGAACAGAAGTGTGTTACTGAAAGTATGAAGGTAATAAAATGAAAGAAAATCACTGGGCAGCACAGTGGCTCAGCGGTTAACATTCCTGTTTTGCAGCATTAGGGTTCTGTTTGAATCCCAGCCAGGACAATATATCTGCATGTAGTTTGCATGTTTTCCCTGTACTCCAGTTTCCTCCCACACTCCACAAAGACATGCTAGAAGGTTAATTGGCCCTGGAATGTGTATATACATACATCCTTAGATTGCAAGCTCCTTGAGGACAGGGACGGATGTGAATGAATACTATGTAAATTGTATGTAAAGCATTGTGCACACTGACAACACTATATAAACAGCTGTAATAATAAAGAAACCAGAAGCCACCACAAATAGAACTAGTAAGCTACAATACATTACTTTATACATTTTAAATATCTACATTTAGGGTCTACTTGCTATTACAACAGGGTACACTACATGAAAATGTTGAAAAACTGGCTTAAAACAATGCTTAAATTATATTACTTATTTTTTAGTAACATTACAATGGATATCAAAATGGATTAACCCCTTCATGACCAAGGCCCTTTTTTCAATTTTTTGCACACGTTATAATCCGCATTTTAGGCCTGAAAATTACTGAAAACCCCCAAACATTACATATTTTCTGAAAGCCAATACCCTGTAGAATAAATTGCTGGCAGTTGCAAATTTTTATGTTGCACGGTATTAGCGCAGCTCCTTATCAAACCCCAAAATTTAGTGACAAATGCACTTAAATGCCCCAATACCCATTTTTTTAAAATCAAATATAAAAGATGAGGTTACAAGGAGTAAATAGATACCCAGCCCAGGTTAAAAATTGTGTGCGTCCGTGAAACTGCAACAAAATTCAGTACTCCAAAAAGTCCATACGATGTTTAAAAGCCCCTACAGGTCATCAGTTTAGAGATACGTGTAAATATTGACCATAGAATTACTGCTCTACTGCGGTGTGCGCTGCGTTACCCAACATGTGTAGTGTGATCATTGTTTTCATACGTAGGCGCACCCGATGAGTGTTTACATGAAGACACGCATGATCGCGGGGGCCTTTAAATTTGTATTACTATTTTTACATTTATTTGACATTAATAATGTTAAAAACTTTTTTTTTTTTTTAACTTTAATTGTTATCACATAGGGGGGCAGTACTCTTTAAGGTAATACTGGGTGACCAAAAGACCCCTAGTATCATCTTTACACTTGAAATAAGCTATTGAAGTGCAGATCTCACTTCAGGAGCCCAGCGATGACAGCTATGGGACCAGAAGTGATGTAATCTGCATCGCTCCCGGTCCCATAGTACGGATGTTCACTGATCTCTTCCCCAGCCCCCGACACCAGAGAAGCTGGTCCCAGGCCCATAGGAGGGGCAGCAGAGCCCAGGAAACACGGCAGGGGTGTCGGGGGGGGGTTTGTTTACCAGCCCATAGAAGTGATGTGGCAGCAGTTGAGCCGCCAGAATCGCTTCTACTGTAGAGCTAACAAACGTAAACACGGGAGTCTGTTTAAACGGGCCAGATGCCAGTGAAGTACACTGTACGTCACTGGTCATGAAGGGGTTAATACATCTATAACTCTAATTTAATGAATTACCTGTAGCATACATACACCTCAACTTTACAAAAATTCTAGTTCCTGTAACATGAAAAGGTAGTTTATAATTTACTCTGTTATTTCACCAAATTCCTGCTGGAAACCTCTCAAAGGGTCTGAATGCTACTGCGACAACAATGCCCAATTAATCAAAACTGATTTCATCAATAAGTAAACTCCATACTCAGGACGAAAAGTATTTGCAATGCTTATTGTGACAGGAACAGGAAAGGAATTATCGTCAGGAACCTCAAGTAGCAGGAAAGACATAACCTTTGAAGCACAGCCTTAGTAATTGAAAATGGAAAAGATCTAGTATTAAAATACTGGAGTCCTGCCTGGTGCCAGCTGCACAAAGTGGCTGCTTTGGAAATTGTATGCTCAAATTAAAGTAACATGAAGCAGCATAAATCAGAGTTAGCAGCATGCCCAAATAACTGGCAGAGTCACACAAGATTTATAGTACAATACTCAAGTACAGAATAATGTGAAGTGTAGAAACAATTACATGTTCAATGACATCTGAACATGAATTGTGTGATATTGAAGTCCTCGGGTATAAATTTTAAATCTGAACATATAAATTTATGATATCTTTCAAGCATTCAAAACTCATTACCATGCAGCATGAGTCTTCTGTTCATGGTCTAATCATAATGTCATGCAAGTCAAATTTGTAAAAAAAAGTATTTTTAGGTGACATTTAGGATCAGAAACAATTTTTTAATCTTTCAAAAGGAAAAAGAATGCTTAATACAATAAATGCCTGAATCTCTAAACTGGCAACAAAGGTGCTGGGAAAGTGAAATGACGGTCACAAAATAAGTGATCAAAACACAAACAAGGTCATGGCACTTTTTTGGACAAATGCTTACTTTCTGTGTTGAACGTTCGTTTAGAGGACTTGCAATGTTTTTGTTTTTCTGTGCAAGGGAAACAAATATGCACAGACATATATATATATATACCTATATTATGTGACATAAGGAAAGGGGAAATCATCGAGGGGTTATATATTTCCCCTCACTTTCTATCATATGTACAAGACTAGCGGAACCCAGACCAGGTTTTCGGGGAGACTTTGGTCTGGGTAATCCAGTCCGGGTTTTTGTTTTGGTCTCATCTGGATTGTTTAATTGATTATCCAGGTGAGATAAAAGGGGAAGGCAGGAGAAAGATGCTGCTCTGGCCTGGGACTCAGACAGCATTCTGAGAGAGCTACAAGTGGAATATGTTTTGTGAGGTGGCTGTGGGAAGCTCACCACTTGGTAGAGAGGAAACCTGTCTGTTTAGTTAGAGCCTGGAAGGCAAGTGTTTATTTTCTGTTTGTTTTTATTGCAACCTTTTAAATAAAAACTGACTGCAAGTCAGATTGGAAAAGAGCTTTGCTACCTGGACTGCCTTTTTCCCAGGGAAGGTGATCCCCATTTGAGCTAGAACCCCACAATTATATGTATCTATATAGATATATATACAAATCTCATTTAACCATAAAAAGTGTATTATAAACAATAGGCAGGTATAACTAACGTGAACAAGTGCAGTTAGGTAGTTAGCATTATAACAATAAGTCCATGTAAGGGAATGTGGAGTATAGACCCAAGTGCGATTTTCACAGGCTTGGGGGAATGAGGGTCACCAAGGGGAAGCAACAGTGGGTAGCAGATATGGGCACTGGGCCACTTAGAGGTCTTTTATTTAACCATGCATTGTCAGACCCTAACCATTCAAGACTATATAAGTGTTTGTGTAAACACAATTCTGCTCCGTCAAACCGTGCAATGATCAAGTCCTTGACACTTTCAAACTAGGTAGCCCTAATCCAATGGATTGCCATTAAAAACCATTGTTACGCAGCTCCCAAATTTGCTAGGCGCTTGTTTAACACTGGTGAAACCAGCATCTCTTAATTTTTTTCCAGTCATGGCACCCTTTATGCAAAATCTTGAGGCACCCCAGTCTAAAATGTAAAAACGTCGGCCCCTTCAAAACACATACCAGACCCTTATCCGAGATCGGGTTCTGGCATTGATTTTAAGGGGGACACTACGCAAAAGCACAAAAAAAGTGGGGTTCCCCTATGCATATCAGTTTCCTCTTCACATTAGGCA